GCGCAGCCTGTTGGAGGACTGAAACAGGCTATGAATAATCGCCGATCAGAATCTCCTCGTCGACCTCTGCCAGCGAAAGCGCAGCAGCACAACGACGGCTGACGAAGATCGACGGAACGACAACGAAGATATCAGCTGACAGCGCAGTGCCATTATAGCGGGTCAGGAAAGGCTCCACGGTAACGACACCGCCAGTGGGAGCTTATAGTCGGAGATTGGAATATATGCTCGCTCAGAGGGAAAGAGCAAGTGTTAACTGATAATGCCATAAGGTACCATTCGACATAGTTGGACTCTCATAAAACAGAGCCAAGACTTTGAAATCTCTGGATTCTTGAACCTCTGCGGGTGGAAGCTATTCTGTTCTACTCAGGTGTCGATATCATGACACGCGCTAAGGCCGGTGTTGGTGTTCTGGTGGAACCAATGCTCAGTGATAGTATCATTGATTGGAAGCTTGTCAGCGGAAGGGTGACAATCCTCCGACTGATGCTATAACAAACTGAAGCGTTGACCTGGTCTATTAGCGGGTAGTAAGAGAAAGTTTACGCCGCGCATGGTATTTGAGCCCGTTACCTCTGAGGTGCAAGGCAAAGCCTTTACTCATTGCGCCGCGGTACCTCGCAAATGGTAATAATGTTAAAGCTAATAGTTTTAGAAATAAGCTGCACTTAATTCTGCTTATTGTTGTAGCTTCACTGACAAGCTCCAGTTGCTAAATACGATGTATAGTATTAACATCTTATAGCAGTTCTAGGGATGTTAGCATCTTATTACATAGCTCTGAGAATAACGAGCCTCTGATCTAAGGTTACCAGTAATCTGTAACTACGGGTAGAATTGCTAGAAGAAAAGGGAAGCATTATATCTCTGAAGACAAAAGCAGACCTGTTAAACAGTAGAAAAAGGTTGACCGTTGATGAATGTACGTTTAAAAGAAGTCCGGAGGTGTAAGAACTTCGTCCCTCAACAGTCAAGCTCTAATGTGTGACAAGCTCTTAAATCATACAGTATCTGACACAGAAAGGACCCGTTTGATAGCTAGAGTGCACCGACGTAATCAACGAAAGAAGTTGACTGAGAAGTCGCTTCGATAAGTCGTTGCTCATCGAGCCTTTGCAAAATGCTTAGTGTAAAGATATGTTGTGTATGGGTAGGATAGGCTGCACTCCGGACTCTACTAAACGCGCAACATGAAGCAAAAGCAGGCAGTTTGAGTCGACAGTTTGGTGCAATGCAGTTTACATCGGTTAGAAGCTAATTGTTTTACCTCGACCAAGGTATTTGAAGGGCGGACTGAAACATCGACAGTAGTCTGTCAGCTAGACGAGGAACTGTTTTGAATTGCTTATGATTAAACAATCTTTGCTCTGTATTTTAATTTGTTGATTGCATGATGGCAGTTTGTTAAATGTGAAAGAGGTATGTTTCATAAACACTCCTCATTCCCTGACATAAATCAGATTATAGCTCAGTTAGCAATATTTACCTAATATTTCATCTGACGACGTCAGTGGTACATCATTGGATGTACTTAGAATTAAGTTTTTAATGACTTGTCGTATCAGGTGGTTGATCTAATTTTTGTTCCATTCAGCCGTCATGGTGTTATGCTATCGATAGTGAGGTTCCTCAACTGTTGATTAAAACCTTTTCGTTGTTGCTTCATGTTTTAGTATCCTGATCAGAATGCAGGATCAGGAGGTCTTTACGAAATGCCTAATGCCGTTGTGGAATAAAGAAATATTTTCTCCTGTATAAGACATTCGTAAATCAACATGTTTATTTGCTAGTGGTTCTCTGTGTGAAGTATGGAAGTTTTGGTGCCCCATTGCTATTTTTATTGATTTCTTACTTCAAAATTCTTAATGTGATTAACATAGAAAATGAGCGCTTAATGTATTCTTATGTGATTGGTCGTGTATAGGGATTTCGGCTGAACTAGCAGCAAACAGTGGTGTCATTGTGGCGGTTCCGGTTCCTCTGAAATTTGCTGTTCCCAAAAATGTCATCGCAGCTGCCCTGCAGCAAGCAACGTTGGAAGCCAGGTAAAACACATCTTCTGTGAAGAACAAATCTCTCATACCATGTGTTCTAGACACCAGAAAGTGACCGGAAAGGCAGTTACACCGTTTCTTATTCAAAGGGTATGCGACCTGACTGAAGGAAGATCACTTGAAGCAAGTATGCTCTGTTTTTCACAAACTTATCGAACAGATTATGCTCGTGCTACTAGAACAAGAAACAGGTTTTGATGTAGCACAGTATCGCAGTTAGATTCTAATCTCTTACCAAAATTTCGCATACTGTCAACAGTTATGTTTCTCAGTTGTCATCGACCGACCGCAGCTGTTGCTTTTGTAAATCAGAAGGAGAGGTTCTTTACTGTATGCTTCCTTTAAGTGTGCACTTCCAAAAGCTGTCTTCAAGGTTTATCTGATCGTGGTACAATATGTATCCTACTGATAGTACGACACTGCTGCAGTACTGGGTAGATAGTATCTCATTGACTTGCCCCCGTGCCAGTTTGTTCCACTGACAACGCGGACTCACCCCTCTGTTTTACCCTCCTTTTGCATTCTGTTATGCGATTATCGAGTCATGTATGCCAATGAACTCGATTTACTGAAAAGCAGGAAAATTTGTAGTTTTTGGATGCCACCTTCTCTTGCACATCTGTGATTCAGTCCTTGTGTGACACTTCTTTCAATGAGCTCATGGTAAGGCTAATTCGCGTTGTTGTTTCAGCAGTGTAAAAGGATCTATTGTTTTCATAATGCTTATACCCATTGATCTTTCTCTGAAAAATAAAAATCGAATGGTCCAGCTGGAACTTAGACTCCTCAGTTATGATCATTCGATTGTGAGTGCACGCTGTACTTACTATGTGTAGATGTATTTGCGGGGAGCGGGTGGTGTATGAAAAGTATTTGTTGTCCGTGACACCTTGCCATAGAACACGCAATTGAGATTATTGTTATTCAAGTGTTAGACATTCGTTAATCGTATATTGTATTTTTTATTAGTTAGTATCGTATTTATTTTTTATATGAGTGGTTCTCATAATTATTAAAGATCCTAAGAGCCTTGCCATGCTACTTCTAAATTATTCTTTTAGCCAGTGTTTTTTTGAACGGTCTTTCTGATGAAATATTTATAGTACGGCTAATTCAAAGGTAGCTAATTTTTATTTCTGCCATATTGAGTTATATCTAACAAATTTTTTGCTGCAGCTGTAAATCTTTTATTTTATAGTTTACATTATTAACAGTGGTGGGAACAGAATAGTATGACTTATTTGATCACATTGCAAAATGTTGGTCTAGTTGTCTTAATTTACGGATCGTCA